GAATTAGCTGCTTAAGACAAGCGGCTCATTCCACCAAAAGTATTCATTGTTTTTGAACGCTGTATCTTTAGCGATATTGTTACCATATTTGTTGATTTTTCGTGAATTTGATTCTGCTTATTACTGTTATTACTATTACTGTCACCATAGTTACCATTCGTTTTTCATATAGTTGTGAATATTATCGCTATTAATGGCATCATTAACGTTGAACGTTTGAAGATTTGCGCAGCTTGTCGTTAGATTAACGTTTCCGAGGGAGTCGAAACGAACGTTTACCTTATGACTTATGTCATTGATCAGCAGGGACTATGTTCAACAATAAGCTATAAAATTCAGCGGACTATTAATAAGCTATAAAAATTCTGTGGACTGTTAATCTCATTTTCACAACTTCACATGATGATGCTGTCAGTAAACATCATTATAAACTTTTATATCCATCACTAGTTTCATCGTAACACCTGTAATTATCATAGTAATTATTGCTCGCAGCAATGAATATTTTTACTTCTGAAGTGAAAATATTTTTAGAATGGAACATTGCAAAGTATTGAATATTGTCATTAAGGTTTTTTGATATATTGACAAATTTTGAAGAGATAAGAGGATGATAACGGCAACACGACTTTCAACTTTTAAGCTCAGCTGAAAGAGACTTGGAAATCAGACGGAGGACTTTGCTCGATATGCTGGCTTCTGGAACTCTCGAGTTGACAAGACAAGCCATAGCACTGAGAGTTCAATTATTGTTTGAAGTTTAAGAAAATTCACGGAGGCATGATTGTTTGTTGAATAATTTCAGCCGTAGCTCTGAGAATCGTCTTCGAAGAACACAACGCGATTTGTGATGCATTTATCCGAATTGAAATTGTTCTGCATATGTTGTTCATTAGCATTTGCATGCAATTTCCAGTATGGATTCTCATCAACCTACTTCAACACACCGGTCACCTCATTCAAGCACTATCTCAATGCATCAATCACTCAAAAAGGTTTCACCTTCAATGAGTCAACCTATGAATGGGTGTGGAATCTGCTACTGAACATTTGGTTCATTGGCTTCTTCTTCGGCATATGGCTATCACCCATTCTCAATGATCGATTCGGTCGAAAAGGTTATCCGGATTATCTTATCTTATCGTAGCAAGTGAAATGATAACTTTTCTTCAGCTCATCGAAATCCACTTCCTGGAGGCATGTGGCCTTATAGAAGCTTGTTCTATCTTTTTTTGTTAGTGTTTGAGAGCGAACCTGCATTCATTTCGTCGATTCCTCCACCTATCGATCAAATCAAAATCGAGCGCGACTAATCTGATCACCTGATCANATCGTGGCAAGTGAAATGATAACTTTTCTCCAGCTCATTGAAATCCACTTCCTGGAGGCATGTGGCCTTATAGAAGCTTGTTCTATCTTTTTTTGTTAGTGTTTGAGAGCGAACCTACATTCATTTCGTTGATTCCATCCACCTATCGATCAAATCAAAATCGAGCGCGACTAATCTGATCACCTGATCATAAGACTCTCTCCATGTAAAAGCAATCATTGACATGATGCATGTGAAAGCATTTTTATTATGCCATAAAACTGTTTACAAGCACGCAAAAGTTTTCTTCTCTTCAATCTTGAACGCAACAACTGCCGATGAAGTAAGACTCAATAAGACGTGTAAAAACAATTTCATTTTTGATGAAGCAATTTTCAGTTCGCAAAAAATTCGAATTGAAAAAGCAAACTCAAAAAATTTCATGATTGGCCAGATGTGAAGCTGGAGAGAAGGATTAAACTTATTACATGAGAACAACTCACTTGAAAAATCTCAAACATTCATACTTTCACGAAATATTTTTCGCAGAATCACAAACTTATTCAAATGCATCATTGTTTTGACAAGAATCGATCAAGTACAAATAATTCTAGTTTCCACTGTAATCGATAGTATGTTTATCCTTCATTTGTATCCGTTCATGATTCGGAATGCATGAAATCCTCAATTATGTGACATTTTTCAGTTGGATTTCTGTTTGGTACCGTACTGAGTCTGCTAGCGTCAATTCTCCGATATCTGGGTATTATATACCTCTTGCCAGAACTGTTATTCGTTGGTCGAATCATCGTATCGATCACCGCTGCGGTTATGTATCAGTCTCTAATACTCTACATACAGGTACCACGACTATTCAGATCATTCACAGAAAAGTATCTGATTCAAAAGTGCTCAAATTCACGCTGAACGATCAAATTATTCCAATAAAAAGGATTCATTCGTAGAGATGCAAAATTTCCATTCAGAACACTGAACTGAGAAGAAATCGCTCGTTAATGAAATGAAATCTGAGCAGTCATGAGACGTTTCATCCAAAAATTGAACCACTGGAAGAGAAAGATATTCAGAACTTAAAAGTGTTGAAAAGAGGGCGATAACTGATAATCTATTTTACTTATAATATTAGTATCTGTCTTACTTATGGTACTATTATATGGTATTGGAATCATGGAGATTTTTCAAAAGCTCAAAAGATTGCTTAAGTGAAATTTTGAGGAATGTTCACCTACGCGATTACGTGGAATGATGAGTTTCACCACCGAGATGTCCTATTCGTCGATGTGTGTCCTTGGATTGGCCTTAGGCACTGATCAGATCTTTGGACAAAAACTCAACTATTTACTGGGAATGGTGATTATACCATGTAAGTGACTCGGGAAAGCAATCATTATTCGATCACAATATATGATCAAAGAATCAATTTAGTTTGCACGAATCCACATAATCGCATTTGACCACATCCAATTGGTAGATATGACCATATCCTTTCCAGCTCTACTTCAGATGGTTCTAAAAATGGATAAATTGGGATATTGGCTTGTTGAGAATTGTTCAGCATTGCAGGTGTATTGGCTGTGCTGGTGATTGTTCCGATTCCTGAAACACCGAAATTTTTGTTGATCACAAGAAATGATCGGAAGGCTGCAATCCGCTCAATGCGGTTTTTCCATGGGTCACAGGTGGACGTCGAAAGTGTTATCACTGAAATCGAGAAGGTACCAATGAACTGATTAACTCGTATAGGATATCAAACGATAACAAATCCATGAAAATGACCTGTAACGTTGAACTGACAGCAATAATCGTTGTCAATCGTGAGATTATCTCCTTCAATCCGGTTAATTTGAGTAGTCGTTTGGACGAAGCCGATTTCACGATAGAAAATAGTTGAAAGTGAATGAAGAATCCTTTATGGTCTTAAAAAGTAGTTCCGTTTCAAGCACAATTGAAACTTGTGATAATCTCATCCGCCCGATAATAACGCTAACGCTAAAATATTCTTTTTTCGAAAATAATCGAAAGTATGCACTTTCCTCTTTACTTTGCAATATGTAAATTCCTTATCAGCTTAAAGTGCTCACCCAAATTTGCTGATCAGCTATCACAGCGATAAGAGCGCATGATCAGTGACGTTTGTAGTTGAACAGGGCCCGATAATAACGCTAATAATAACAATGAATCATTTTGCTGAATTGCGAAATTTTTTTACTTTTATTTTTGATAATATACTTTGGTTGCAAAACGTTGCACTTTTCATTATCAGTGTTCTATAATCATGCAATTTTTGTGTTCAAGTACATTTGGATTTCTTGTGACCGTGCGATTTTGTGCGACATTAATGTGCTGACATGCTGATTGATGCAAAGTCCAAACTGATAAATTGATGCGAGTGCTTTGCAGGAAACTGAAGACAAGAGTTCATCATCGCTGAAAGAAATTGCGACTACACCACATTTACGCAAAGCTGCAGTAATTGCTTGTTGCGCGCTACAGGTACCGCAAATTATTTTCTTGCGATAATTTACAAAAACATGTGATTTCCCTACATCTAAGAGAATTTCAAGGCAAAACCGTTCTATCACTTGATCAAATTCTTTGTTGAAGTTGCCATTTTAAAGTAGTTAACAGAATAAGTATGTTTTGAATTCGTTTTTACATAAGCTGTCATGTCATATAAGCAAATGAACTGTCAGATATATGGTAGACCTATGGTAATTCTCTTATGAAGGCATGTTCTATTCTTTCATGACCCAAGAAGAAGTATATCTTCAGAATACGGTGGCACTCTGGGCAGTGTTACTATCATCAACATATTTTTTACGTTCGGTGAACTTGCAAAGC